CATTTCAATCGTGATAAAATAGCTATCATTTAAAAAAAATACTCCATCTTACGACCGTGTCCGCTGCAGTGAATATCTTTTTACTTACCGCTATTGTGCTCAATTAAGCAGATGTTCGCGCGGAGATTCTGATCCTTTGTTTGTTCCGTCTAAAAGTAACGAAAGCTGCGAGGCGAACATTTGCACAGGTGTTCTAATGTTTTGTTGGTGGCTGTAAGCTGCAGGAATTCCAAAATAAATAAATAAATAAATAAAGGAATAAAGAAAGAAAAAAAAAGAAAAAAAAGAAAGAAAATAAGCACTACAGTAGCCGGGACAACGTGAAAGCAGAGTTTTGCCATTGCTGTTAGATATTGAATGCTGTGCCCTGTGGAAGATGAACAAAGAGGGTACGAATGTAAATGTCTCTTCCTTATCAAACTGTAGGAATAACGATCAGAAACCGCAGTATCAAGGCCCAGCTGTCAGGCCGGGGCAGCATCCTCTCAAGTGAAGAACGACGTGTCCGAGGGGAGACCTCCTGACTTCTCCTGGACCGGGCTATCATGCGAAGGATGCGGGCATACAGGCGGCCCTGCCAATCATCCCCGATTTGTGGCCCCTTAAGCAGCTTGACATTCACTTGGCTGCGCTTACTTTTTTTCTCAAGCTGGAAATATTTTCCGAGCGGAGGAGATGGGGTCTCTGTCCTTTGATCCCGCTCAGTCCCGCTCGGAACTCTCCGAGCGTACTGGAATGGTTAGGGCTGGTTCCACACGTCACGGTATGCTTGATCGGAAGCATCATCTTATCGGGCTTGATGAATCATGCGCAAACTCTCCATCTAACGAGTGCCTTTCGAGCCGTAACGTACGTATCACAACAGCATCCCACGCTAAACGTTAACGTTGAGGTCAAATGATGATACTAGTGCAAGAGGTAGCTCCGCGACTGATATTCTCGTGGCGGCTGTCCTCGTGGCAGCTGTTTTCGTTGATTCCGTGGGCTGTGAAGATAGTCAAGGTGCCTGGATCTGGATCTCGGCGAATACTATGACCGAACCCAAGGCAGCCTTCTGGTAATTTGCCGCTACCGCGCTGCACCAGAGTGGTAGCTGGGAATGGATGGGAGCAAAATGAAATTGAGCAGAGGCAAAGATATATAAAGCGCGAATTTGAAACAGGGGACGAGATAGGGTAAGAGAGAGTAAGAAACCGGTTGCTTGCATTTGGGGCATCAGTTTAAAGATACGAGAAATAAACATAATGCGGTGAGCTTGCTACTGAGAATGTAGTATAAAGCAAAAGAAGACATAATTGACTTGTAGCATGGCATCTACTATCTCTGTGCAAATGCTACAGAGAATAGACGGCTTGAAGAACTAATCAAAAGTGGATAAAAATTACTTCGAAGACCGAGCGTTCTTGAGGAAGTCCGCGCACCGTGCAGCGACCATCGCCGTGGATACCTGAAGGTGTGTTGCGGGTATAGTTGGGAAGATACTTGCCTCAGCGATGCGCAAATCTTCAATGCCGTACATACGCGGCTCATCATCGACGATGCCTCCTTCAGCCTCGGGGACCATGCGGTACGTCAATGAGTAGTGAAACGTCATGCGAATACTCTTGTGCACGAAGGTGTAGATGGCATCATTGGTCTCGCTTTCTGGCTGCAACATGACATAGAGAGAATAGTCACCCTCCTTGGCCTTACACGCTATGGCGAGTCCGAGTCGAATAGCGTTACGCAGCATAAACCAGTCCCGCTCGTCACTCAGAGAAGTTAGGTCACACGCCGGGCGGGCGCAGGAGTCGACCGACGTCGGGCGCACCGCACCGCGCAAGTGCGGCTTGAGCAATACGCAGAAGAAAGGCATGGCACCCTTGTCGTCCTTCATCTTCCGGAACTCCCAAGTATAGTAGGGGATATGTATGATTTCGATGTCGGGAGTATTTGAAACAAGATGGGCGTCGGGTGCGGAAGCATCGGGCGGCACGGTTTTGAAATCCTGGTCGAGATACTGGGACTGTGCGAACACAAAAGGCTGTAAATTCGGGAAGAAGAAAAGGCCGTGCCCGAAGAATAAGTTTTGAGCATCTTCTTGGTCGCGAATAATTTTCTGCGCTCACATTTGTAGAGGGTGCAGTGTCGTCCGGCGATACCGTGTAGAGAGCGGGATGCCAATATGGTCCTGCTACGAATTGTAGACTACATCAACAGGGATATTACAACTTTAGTGAGCCGCAACACACCAGCTCTGAACCAAAGCCAGGCAGATCTCTGACTGCGGTGATATTATGCTTACGTAGATGCTCTGCGGGGCCGACGCCACTGGAAAAGCGCGAAGATGTAAGCAGAGCTCGTGATAGAACTATGCACCAAACGAACCTCAGCATAAGCACCTGCGTATACCCTGCGGGCTCGCAATGAATCCACACAAGACAATCTCATGGTGAGCTGTAGCGTAAAATTGCGTGCTAGACGAGCGGCCGGCGGCAGAGTCCCACCAGAATAAAACCCTGATGGCACGCGTCCTGTTTGCGGAGGGCTGTAGGTTGAACTTTAACACTGCAACATGGGGCACGACAAACATGTTCTTCTGACGCCACCAAGCAACCTCGGATAATATGAAGGCATCAAAAGTCAGCTGTCGCTGACCCTTCTCGTTCAATGCCAGATCAGCACGAGCGCAAGAAGGTCGGC